TAAGTTGAAATGTCATATTGTGTTTTTTTTTAATAGCACAATGGATTTAAATGTGAAAAAGTACATACAGTATATATAAACGTAATTTACCGCGGTTGTTAGGTGCTGGAAAAGCATAAAAATGCACCTTGAAAGTGCTTGAAAAGTGCTGGAATTTGAAGTTGGAAAAGGTGTAAGAACCCTGATTTTTACTGTGTATATATATGTATTCAGCTAGTGTAAACATGCATGATGCAATCACAGCGAATGCAAGGCTGAAGCGTTACCCTTCGTTTCTGCTGAGAGACGTGCCGTGACTCATTTCCCTGCGCGTCCAAGTTATCTTAGATCGGCGTTCACGGTTCGACTTCTGAGATTCAGATCGAGTTCTAGATCATTTTTTTTAACTGGTTGGTTTGACTTTTAGTGAGTTCGAGAACTGAGGTACTACTGTAATTTAATTTTCTTAGTGTGTATGTAAATTTACTGGGTGTGGCACTCACCTGGATGATGTGACAGCAGCCATTCTGCACCAGTGCACTCACCACACAGTAGCTAAGGTGATGAAGGGGCAAGCGAGAATTCACCAGTTACATACAGTATAGGGGGTGTTCAGGTCACCGGATTAGAAAGAGCCAAAGTGGACAGTTTATCCAGGGCTTCAGGGTACCACCTCTATTCCCTTTGAAGGATACCCAATGATTTTTTATGATCTCAGATAGTCAGGACTTTGGCTTTGGCTACAATTTACAATTTGGTGATCACCATTTCTACCACACTGTGTCCCCTCATTGCATTGGGACCCACACAAACCACAGGATGGGCTAACCTGTTGGCCAGATCAACACCTCTGCTAGCACCAACCCAGCTTTCTCAGTTGACCTCCCATCCAAGTATTAGCCAGGTGCAAACTTGCTTAGCTTGAGGGGATTACATAGTCTGAACTGCAGGTGGCATGGCTACTGCTAATTTGAAATTATAGCACAGAGAGTTTAAGCTTTGCTAAAACATTGAACTGTCATAGAAAAAAGTCTGGCAGTTTTACTGATCATTCCTTTTCAAGATTTTAAAATTGAGTTGAAATTATACCTCCACTGCTTTTGCATGAGTGCTGCATGCATTGTCCGAGACAATTATAATAATTTTCATCCTTGCTGTTTAAATCACTCCCACATGGGTTTGTGAGAAACTTTTTTGCATTGTAAATACCCCGACTTTTTTTCAAGACAGTGGTTGTATTATGTTTCAGAGGCAGGTTATTTGCATAACCAATTGACAAAGAAAGTGTTTCCACACATACAAAGAAATCAAAACAAATAAGTCTATAAATTTAGTTATATGTTACCTCAACACAATTATTTGTGTTAATAGACTTCTGAAGTAAGTTTACGTCACCTACCGCTGTGTCTTTATCTTATTTTATGAAGATAAGTTTTGGACCAGTGCAGTGCTAATGAATCCTTTTCTGGATAAGGGATTTGAGGGCATGTTTAGACAGGGGGATTCCCATACAGCACAGTACATGAACCAGGCCCACACTGTGATCGCCCACTTCCTACATTTTCTGCTCTGCTCAGCTGCCTCACAGTTCTGCCGCTGTTATTTTTGGCCACCGCGGGACACTTTTTTCTGGTTATCATGAGCTTTGTTTGCTCAGCTCAGGGAAGCCTGTAATTTATAGGGGTATGTATTCTCTTGATTTTGTGTATTTGACGGGCGACTCAGGTTAGTTTATTTGGTTGACTTTCAGCAGCTCTAAATAAGGAGAATGGGAATAGGGAAAAATATGGATCTGAAATCTTATTTTGAACACATTAACATAAAACCAATGTCATAATTAAAGACCAATACTTTCAGAAAAAAAACAAGATAAGATTCCTAATACTGTGGATTCAACAATGTACCCCATTTGTAAAAAATAATGCTACTGTCTTTTATAGTTAAATACAACAATACTGTGTGTGATGCGACCCATTTTCATGTCTTTGGTGGTCTGGCTCTCAGTCAGCTCTTCATCATCAGGAAGGCTAGAGAACTATTTGCGTGTGTTTGTGGTCAAAATGGACGGCTTGACAATGGCCATTTCAGTGTGCTTTCTAGGACGCTCAGGGTTGGGGTTTCAAGTAGATGCATGTTTATGAGGGAAAAGTGTCTGTGTCTGTTTATTCGGCAATGTATAGAAATGCAGGTTTGAAGTATAAACATATAAACTTAAGTTTTGCATTTTCCAGTAGTCTAGAAGGGCACGTACTCCATTAACCTTGGTTACATAAAACTGGCATTCTTCAGGAAATAGTCCACTGAAAATGTACACGAGTTGCTACAAGAGTTTACAGAGGCAACCGGGAAGACTTCTGACACTATGGTTACTTGATGTCTGATATTATGTCATTTGTTCATCGTTTCTTAAAGTGAAACCTCCCACCTGAGCAACGACACGTTCTTGCCTCATGATATGATAGACTGGGCTCTCGTCACTGCAGCAAAAGAGAGGGCTGCTTTTTCAAAATAGCATCTTCCATTAGTGTCGCCTGAGAAGATCTGTTTGCTCATGTCCCTATGACCCATATACTGCTGCGGGATGGGGGCGGGGCTTGTGGCTGTATGGACAGGCCAAAGCCTCCCCCTCTTGTGTAATTTAGTTTGATGTTTATGTGGCCTGTTCTGGAGGGGGCCCTTAATGCCCCCCTCACGCCAGATAGATAATGCTTACCTGTTGCTATTAATTTCTGTGCTGTGCCCCTCCCCCCACACATAATGGTCAGACTGTCACCGGGAGTTTTATGGTTATGTGCCTCTGCTCTATATGAAGACCACTCCCCCCGATCCATTTTTAAAAATTTGATGTTACCATAGAGGCTGAGGAGTAACATCTGGTGCCGAGCCCCAGGAAAAGGTTTTGGCATTGCTGGATCTGTTGACGCTTCCCTTTTTGGCCTGAGTAGAGCGACACGTTCTGTGGTCAGTCAGATGACTTGTAGCATGTGAAACCATCGTGGGCAGGGCAAGATAAGGTGCATAAGTGGCAGTGATGTCAGAGAAAAGCACACATTAGGGAATAACTTGGTATTGTGTGCTAAAATGTTAGCATACGCCAATGTCACAGTATTCAGGTGGACTTTGGGAGTGCCGGTTGTTATATTTTGTGTATTATATTCACGTCTTCGGTCTTACTGAATCTAATCACGGACGCAGGCACAGCATTCTTTTTCACAACGCCACTCTTTACTTCACTTCCCAGTCCTTAACATATTCCCCCACACCTTATCTGTTCAACATGTGGTTCCTCTTAAAGTAACAGCATACAATTCAGTATATGACACCGGTCAAGCCATCTTCCGGCGGAGGTGGCAGTATAATTTGCTGGGGGGGGGGGTTGGGGATAGGGTTAGTCTTACGATATGATCACTTGCTTGACATAGTATATTAGCGTCTTGGTTGAAGTGTCTGATACATTTGGTTTTATAAAAGGCTTGTGATTACGCCTCCAGGTCGAGCGGATCATGGACAAGCGGAAGAGCAAGAAGGGCAGGGTGGAGTACCTGGTACGCTGGCGGGGCTACAGCTACGAGGGCGACACGTGGCAGCCGGAGATGCACCTGTCCAACTGCATGGAGTTCATCCACGAGTTCAACCGGCTGCAGGGTGAGCTACAGCAGGACGGGCCCCCCCCCCACTCTGGGCCTGGTGCCGCTAATAATGCCCGCAAGCAGATCTGCAGGCCGCAGCCCAGCGATGGCCCCAGGGCTGCCTCTTCCAGTCTCGCTACTGTCCCCTCTGTTCTGAAGCAGCAACAGCAGCTTCTGTTGCCTGCCTCCGGCGACTTGAACGGTAAATCGGATGCACAGCATCTCCCGCCTGCTGCGAAGTACCACCGCCTGGCTGAGACAGCCCCGGGAATGGTCGGAATGCACGGTGTGGGCACCGGCTGCCGGAGCATGGACCTCACAAGGTCTGGCATCAAGATCTTGGTGCCCAAGAGCCCTATGAAGAGCCGTGTTGCTGGCGAGATGTCGCCCAGCGAGGCTGCCCACAGCCTCCAGCAGGCAGGCCAGGAGCCCGACTCTGTGCCCCCAGAGGTATCCCTGCTAGAAAAGCCTGTGGGGGCCCTGCTGGGGCCCAGGGATGAGAGAGCCCGCATGGGCACACGGCCACGGACCCAAACCATGCTCCCCCCACCTCAGGTCCCCATCACAACCGCTGCAGTGAAGTCCCTCAATGGCAAAGGTAGGGCTTCCTCTGCCACTGTCAGCTGGGTAGATTCTGCGCCTCGCCATGACAACTCGGGCCATTTCCCACATTCTTGCTATGATAATTGGGAAGTTCATGTGACAAATACAGTATAGTAAGCAATTAGAGCTGGGCAGATATGGTCATGTGACTTTTTCTGCCAGCAGTAACAGCTGGGTGGGTGAGGTCATGTGATCTATTCACATAGCAGGGAAGGTCATGTGACCTACTGTATTTGAATGACAGTTAAGAGCTGATGTTGAAGTCTCACATGTGTGCTGGTTCTCTAAGCAAACTTCTAGAATGTTCACTATGCCTGTGTCCATATCCACTTGGGTTCCTGCACCAGTCACACTTTCCCAGGCCTTCCCCATCTTTTCCCAGTGACACCCCCCTTTTGCTGCCCACAGGTTCGTCCTCCTTCATGGAAGCTTTAGCAGCTAATGGCTCAGTGAGCCAACAGAGCACCCCCATGGGGTCGCTGGGTGTGGCGCCCAAGCGGCGCTTTGAGGAGCGCTCGGCCTTCGACAGACGGCTGCGCTTCAGCGTACGGCAGACGGAGAGTGCCTACCGCTACCGCGACATCGTGGTGAAGAAGCAGGTTGGCTTCACGCACATCCTGCTTTCCACCAAGTCCTCAGAGAACAACTCGCTGAACCCCAATGTGAGTCCCCCTTGTCCATGACACGCCACAGTTTTTAGTATCATCCAAAGACACACATTTAGTCTAATTGGTGTGTAATTCGTGCCGATTGTGTGTTTGATTGTCGTTGTGTTGACGTCCTGTGATGGGTGTCCTCACCCTTGTGTCCTGTGCTTTCTGGGATACTCATGGGTTCATAACGACCCTGTATTGGGTAAGTGGCTGTAAAATGGATAGATTTTCTAACCTCAAACTGTTACGTAATAACAAATCTAATGGAGGGGTAAGATTACTTAGGGTGTTTCTCAATACCAAGAACGCAAAGATTGTACTTATGGTCACTATAACTTGCCTTCCAAGAACAAATTTGGGATCCAATGAATCATGGGGTTGTTCTTGTTTTAGGGCTTTCACTAACGACTCTTTTTCTACGGATTAATCTGTGGAGTATTTTAACGATTGGTTGATTAATCTAAACAATTAATTTTCCTCCAGAAAATCAACTCAACCGTTTAATTTTATTTTATTTTGACAACAGCAAACCGTATGTTATTGCAGTGCTGTAGATAACGGTCACCGGCTTTTCGACACTATACGCACATTATTTTCTCCCACAATTCCTTAAGTAGATTGTCTGCCTAAAATAGTAATGAGATGCATATTGTGACGCGAAAAAGTTAACAATTTGTATAAATCTTTATGCTTATTAAGTGGTATTATGGAATTAGTATTATGAAAATTCTAACATAGCAGTTAGTCAAATTTATGGCTTTAATAATGACTGTATTTAGCATCTAGAAGGACAAAATATATTTAAAAGTCTTTTGCCTTTTCTGGTGGTCCGTCTTCCAGAATGATGCCTGTGTGTTTTCTCTTCAGGTGCTCATATATAGCAATACTTCTATGGTATACCATCGAAACTTTGCACAGTGCAAAACCACAAACCACCCTTTTGTTTTGTGATAATTTAAACTTTTTTTGTTTCGAGGCAAGAATAAAATCCGGTGGTTTTTACTTCTGTTCTTGAATATTGTAACTGGTCTTAGACAATGGAAGATCCTGTAAAACAGGTACATGAGAACACAATTAAGTACAGTGAAGTAGGCATATTGAGAAAGACCCTCAGTGTTTCATAAAATGATTTCCATGTTAGTATATGGGTAACCTTAATAATGAGTATTAATATAGACTAATGTATTGTGTGCTCAAAGATGCCTAGTTGCTATGAATATTCTGATGATGATTATGATGGCGGTGCAGGTGATGCGGGAGCTGCAAGGCGCCATGAGCTCAGCGGCGGTGGACGACAGCAAACTGGTGCTGCTCAGCGCAGTGGGCAGTGCTTTCTGCTTTGGCCTGGACTTCGTCTACTTCATCCGGAAGCTCACAGACGACAGGAAGAGAGAAAGCTCCAAGATGGCCGAGTCCATCCGGTGAGGAATACTGGGGAGGTCAGGCCCCACCCCGTTCTCTAGTCAGACGGACATATATAATAGGAAGGGGGTGATTTGGGAAAGCAATGCCTTTTGTCAGGTTTCTGGGACCTGCTGTGTGTGTGTGTGTGTGTGTGTGTGTGTGTGTGTGTGTGTGTGTGTGTGTTAG